GAAAGTAGGCTCGAGGCGCTGTTGATTGGTGCAGCAGGGGCATCATCGGGGGGGGGGGATGGGCTCAGAGGGGGACGCATGGACTCCCAATCGCTCACTGATCGCCGATAGGGGCCTGATACATAGCCCACCCCGACCCAAGAATGTGCGGCTTCGCTGTCGGGGGCACATCACCGATCTATCGGCGATGTATCGCTGATTCCAGCTCGATGCTTCCCCCCCCAGGGTCGGTCCTCCCCCTAACTCTGTCCCTCAGTGTAGGTGGCCTGGCCCGAGGGTTTCCTTCAGGGAAAACAATGTCGGCTCCCGGGTCGTCGACGCGGCGGCGGCGCGTCGAGGTGCAGCGCTCTGCTTTCTATGGTCTTCGGGGGTTCCCGCGCGGCCACGGCTGGACGCGGCTCGGAAAGTTGGTCGGGATTGCAGCGTTTGCGAAGGATCCGAGGATCGACCTTGAACGAAAACGTCCGCCTGGCCAGAGGGGGGAGGTTCTACTGATGTTGGAGGCCACGCCTTTGCAAGGGCATTGGGAAGCCTGTCCTTGGCCCTAGTGAGGGGCGAAACGACTGAGTAACTGTTGGAAACTTTGCGTACTTGAAAGATCTTGAAAGCTCTTGGGAGCGTGACCAGTACGTCAAAGGATGGGCAGGCAGAACAAAACGACGGGAGCACACGTGAGTTGTACTTTCCATCCCCCTACGCTCTGCCCTCATGTTTTCACCTGCTGTCCTGTGGCGGCGCTTCGTCGCACTGCCATAGCTTGGCACGTTCGGCCATGGTCCTCATTGGCAGAGGAACGTGAAGGAGACTGGCCACCCTTGGACCCTTGAATTGCCTTGCACTTTGCTACCTTTCGCACCCTCCTTTCACCCGTCTTGCGCGGCGAGGCTCTGACCTCGCGTCGTTCGCCTCCCTCCCTATGCCTCATAAGCAAAACTCTCTGTCGGACCACCAGACGTGTCGGTCGGCCGGGCCAGGCGCTTCACTTGAGACTTCCTTACAGCGTGTCATTCTCAAGCGTCATGAAAATGCAGCATCTGGATGGAGGGCTGGTTGTTTTCAGAGTGCTGCTCTCGCTTTAGCGCCTCGTGCACTCGATTTCAAAACTAGCAGCGGTTGTAAGGATGGTGGGCCAGTGGTTTTCCGAGTGCGGTTCTCGTCTTAGCGCCGCTCACGTTTGCCTCGAGGTCTGCAGCAGCTGCAAGGCTAGAGGTTGGGACGTTTTCAGAATGCGGCCTTCGCTCTAGAGCCGCGCACATTCGTCTGAGAAGCTTGTGACAGCTACAAGGATGGAGGCGGCTCGTTTTTTTGTAAGCGGTGCTCGCGGTAGCGCAACGCACACTCAATGCGAAAGTTTGCAACCGTTGCAAGTGTGCAGGCCGTTGTTCCCAAAACAGCTTGCTGAACGGGGAGCTGCTGTGGTAGAAGCTAGCTCCGGCCGAGGGCAAGGGGGAGCAGAGACATCCTCAAAAGAATCTGGTGTTCCGGACCGCTTCGCTTGAGACGTCCTCACAACTCTCGTTTCTGAGTTGTTCGGGATTGGCGTTTGGCCGTTTCGCTTGAGACATCGTCGAACATCTGGGCTTCGGGTCGCCGTGCGCGAGGTGTTCTGGGCCGTTTCGCCTGAGACATTCTCGTACCCCTCAGCTCCTAGATGCTGCGCGAGAGGTGGTCCGGCTCATTTCGCCTGAGACATCCTCGAAAATCTGGCCTCCGGGACGCCGCGCGCGAGGTGGTCTGGGCCGTTTCGTTTGAGACATCCTCAAAATTTTAAGCTGCGAGATGCCGCGCGCGAGGTGGTCTGGCTTGTTTCGCCTGCAACATCCTCGCAATTCTGGCCTCCGAGATGCCGTGCGCGAGGAGATCTGGCTTGTTTCGCCTGAGACATCCTCGCAACTTGGAGCTCGGAGATGCTGCGCGCGAGGTGGTCTGGTTCGTTTCGCCTGAAACATCCTCCAAACTCGGGGCTCCGAGATGTCGCGCGCGAGGTGGTCTGGTTTGTTTCGCTTGAGGCATCCTCACAACTCCGGGCTCCGAGATGCTGCGCGCGAGGTGGTCCGGCGCGTTTCGCTTGAGGCATCCTCGAAATTTAAATTCCGAGCTGCCGCGCGAGAGGTAGTCTGGCGCCTTTCGCCTGAGACATCCTCGTACCCCTCAGCTCCGTGATGCTGCGCGAGAGGTGGTCCAGCTCGTGTCGCCTGAGACATCCTTGCAGCCTTGAGCTCTGAGAAAATGTGCGCAAGGCTGTGTGGCCCGTTTTGCTTGAGCTATCCTTGCGAGTCGGGACTCCGAGATGCTGCGGGCGAGGTGGTCTGGTCCGTTTCGCCTGAGACATCCTCGACACTCTGGGCTCCGAGAGGGAGGAAAAAGGAGGGAGGGGGGGTCATACCCAAACGAACCATGTGATTCCATTTCTGTTGACGAATTGTGCTCTGGGAAAGATCTGGGCGCCGCCTGACGCATCCTCAGAACTCTGAGCTCCCAGATGTCGCACGCGAGGTGGTCCAGCCCATTTCGCCTGAGACATCCTCGCAACTCGGGGCTCCCATGCTCGAAGTTCTGGGCTCCGAGAGGGAGGAGGAGTCAGACCCTAACGAAGCATGTGATTGCACACCTGTTGTCGAATTGTGATCTGGGAGGGGTCTGGGCGCCGCCTGAGACAGTCTCAGAACTCTGAGCTCCCAGAAGTCGCACGCGAGGTGGTCCAGCCCGTTTAACCTGAGACATCCTCGCAATTCGGGGCTCCGAGATGCTGCGCACGAGGTGGTCTGGCGCGTCTCGCCTGAGACATCTTCGCAACTCCAGGCACCTTGAAGATGTGCGCGGGATGGTCCAGCTCGTTTCGCCTGAGGCATCCTCGCAACTTGGGGCTCTCAGAAAATGTGCGCGAGGTGGTCTGGCGCGTTTCGCTTGAGACATCCTCGCAACCGGGCTCCGAGATGCCGCGCGCGAGGTGGTCTGGCCGCCTAGCGTGCCCGGGAGGCAAGCCGCCGCCGTTCTCGCCAGCGACGCCCGTGCGCGTCGATGAGAGCGTCTGAGCGCTCGCGGTGGTGAACGAGGTCCTGCTTGTGCTGCTCGAGTGGTCCAAGGGCTGGGTAAGTTGGTGCTGGCGCTATGCAGGCAGCAGCAGGCCGAGCGGCGCTAGAGGCGGTCCCAGCTGAGATGCGACAGCGGGCGTGGGTGCGTTACGAAGGCAAGCGATTGTGGCACCAGCGCCCGATTTTGGGGCGTCGGGTAAGGTTAGCAGCTGATTTCGCGACCCGCTTCGCGGTCGCGATCTGCACTTTGGACACGGACGTCTAGGAAAAGGATTACGCGTTGACGGATAGTGGCATCATCGGCGCCCTGGCCTGGGCGCTGGAGTCCGACCACCGGCGCCCTGGCCTGGGCGCTGCAGTAGGCGACCCGTCTTGATCCTGCTCACCTCTGGCTAGGGCGGCGCTCCTGCTGGTGGACAAGCCATCTCAAGAGCAGGAGCCCTGCCCCCTGCGCTGGTTGCCGTGGGCGGCGCGCTCACAGGCGGAGTCCTTGCTGTAGGCCCAGCGGGCGCCCCGGTGCCAGTTGCGCCTGTCGCGGCAGCGGTAGCTGCCCGAGCGGCCCCAGCGGCGGCGGCCGCTTTCTTAGGCGGCGGAGCTCGTGGCGCTGCAGCGGCGGGGCCTCCGGCGCCGACCGGGGCGCCCATGGAGGGCGCCGCGGCCGGGCAGCGCGGCTCGGCGGCGATAGCGCTTGTGGCAGGCTCGGTGCTGAAGGGGTCGATCGGCCTGATGCCGTTGGTGGACGGATCGCGGGTTGCCATCCGCTCGATCGCTGGCTCAACGCAGCGCGCGCCAGGCGCAAGGTGGCTGCAGACGCGAGCTCGATGGACATCGTGGCGAGACATGTCGCGCGTGGACGCCTTGGCGAGCTTCGCCTGGAGAGCCGTTGCGCTCCGCGGCCTGGGAGAGGGGCCGCGCCGCGTGGAGCGGCGCGCCGATGGCGCGCTCGACGGTCGACGATGTCCCAGGGGCGGGGGGCTTGCCCCCAAGTCAAGCGCAACGCGCCCGGGGCCCCGGGCCCTGGGTGGTCGAATGCCCAGTGTCGAGGATCGATCTCGCGCCCCGCGCTTTCTGATTTCCACCGCGCGCGCAACACCCTGGGCCCGAGACCCTGTGCCCGACGCCCTTGACCTTGAATGTTTGTGAGTTGTTGCGCCCCGCGCGGCGCGCTCTTGATCCGAGACGCGAACCATCCGTCTAGACCTCGCGTCATATATTTTCGACCCGGAAGTTGTGACCTCACCTGGGGACAAGCGCCGTATAACCTTGAGCCTACGCGCCAGACCTTCGACAGTCGAGGGTTCAGGACCGAGGCTCGACCCCGCGCCCTCCGCCCCGCTGACGCCGCCCCCCTGTCAGCTCAAGTTTGGGCGCATCTGCCTGTCGAAGCGGCCCGTCGGGCCCGTGGGGTTCGCGAGGGGGGGGGGGGGGGGGGGGCGGCGACGGAGCTCGCGGGAGTCGCCGGGCAGGGGGCCGCGCGGATCGCGCTGCCCGCGCGTCTCGCGCGGCTCGGATGGCTCGCTGGGCTCGCTGGGCTACGCGGGGCACGCGGCTCGCAGGCATCATTGTAGCCCGCTGGGTTCGCGGTGCTTCGGGGGAACTGGCTCTCGTGTCAAGCTTCTGATTGCCTCGAATGGTTTGGCCGTTAAAAGAGGGCCCCCGGGAAGCATCTGGGGGCCTCTTCAGCATGGGCGCCAGGACGAGTCGCATGAGCACGCCGTAGCAAGGTCGGACATCGAGCCAGCTGTGGAACGCGACGCGCCTTTCAAGTGCACCGCTCGCGCAGCGCGCGCTCTCGGTTCCTTCGGTTCGAGATAACCAACGCAGCGTGTGCGTGACTTGTCAAAATCTGCCACCTTATATTTCGCCGTTGCATTGCGCCCCAGCAGCGGGCGCTTCGGGGGCACACATTGTCAAC